AGAAGATAGCTCACTCACTAAGGTTCTAGCACACAGGCTGAGAAGATGTCTCACTAAGGTTCTAGCACAGAGGCTGAGAAGATGGCTCACTCTCTAAGGTTCTAGCACACAGACGAGAAGATGGCTCACTCTCTAAGGTTCTAGGCACACAGGTATGAAGACCTGAGTTTGGACCCATCACATGGCAGTGTGCACCTGCAATCCCAGAGCTGAGGAGGCCGAGACACACGGAACCTTGGAGCTCTCTGGCTAACCGGCGTAGCCAGGCCAGCCATCTCCAGGTTCAGGTAAGACTCCGTCTCAAAAAATGAAGAGGAGGGTGATTGAGGAAGACAAATGATACTGATGTGTGGTCTCCACATGCATATGTGCACATACACACATACGCGCGTGCACACACACACATATGCACACACACATATGCACACACACACGTGTACACACACATGCTTGCATACACACACATACGCAACACATACACACATACACACGTGCACACACAGAGGAAACAATTCACAATCTGGAGGCTTACACTCGGCAAAGCCTCCTCTGTGGAGCTGCAGACTGTTTCTTTTGAGGGGCTCCATCCATGGCTGGGAACTTTGGACTCAGTTCTAGCGGATAAAAGTGGTTTATTCATCCACAGTATCAGATGTGGGGAAAATAGCTGCATTTTCACACTGCACAGCACAAGTGGGCCCAAGACCCAAGTGTGTCACGTCTTAGAAATGCAGAATCCGTGCAACACAGCCGGAAAGGCAATGCGAAGCTGCTCGAGAGTGTGCACATGAAAGATTAGTAGAATGTCACAGTTCACAAATGTGACTTCACAGTAGGGACTGTGTTACTCAGCCACCTCTCCGGGGACTGGGACTCGAAGGAAACATTTACTCTGCTGCTGAAAGTTTAACGAGAGTTCATGACTCGTGGCTGACATGGATTAATATGGAAAAAATTCAAGACGCTAGAGCACTCCAAGCAAAGAAACGGCTCGGTCAGATCTGGTACCAAGTGACCCCATCTGGAAGGGGTCAGCACGAGGAAAGAATCAGAGTTTGTGTGGGTGTGTCCAAGGTGTTCTGGCCTTGCGGACAGCATCTGGCTTCCTGCAGAAGTGTCCAGCATGCTTCTGATGTCACACGCGCTCGAAAGTGTCCCTCTTTCCACTCCTCTGCATCTCTTGCTCGTCTCCAGCTCCCTGAAGTGATTTCCAAACGCACCCACATTATCCGTCACACTGCCTCACCCCTCTTTGCCCGACATTTCCAGCTAGACATTCGTTTGATCCGCCTTCTGTTTCCCACCTGCCTGAGCTCATCTGCTGCATCAACAGGTTTCTCATCAGTGCCACGCCTCACCGATTTCCCCCTACATCTTCAAAGTCGCACCTTTTTCTCTTGGCCAAGTCCAGTCTATCTCCCTGTGCTGTGGCGTGCTTCCCAGGTCTTCCTGGGCAGGAAGCCATCAGCTAGGGCATCTGTCTCTCCTTATCAACCTCCGCTTTCCCTTTGTGTCGACTCAGCACCGCATACATAACACACGGACCTTGGCTTAAATTCTAAGTCAGTTGCTTCGAAACTATGCAATGTGGAATTGTATTTAGTCAGTACACAGCTCACTTTGTTCAGTGTAAAAGACAGGAAAACGTAGTCCCTGTGTCCTTGTCAACTTGACACAGACCTAGACATACCCGGGAAGCAAAAACCTCGATGGAAGAATCTTCCAGAACCAGACTGACTTCTAATAACTGATATAGGAGGCATTGCCCGCAGTGGGTGGTGCAAATCCCTATGCAGGTGGGCCTGCACTATAAGAAAGATAGCTGACCGCGTCTGTAAGCAATTCTCCAGGGGTTCTGCTTCTTTTCCTGCCTCCAGGTTCCCACCTTAAATTTTTGCCCTGACTTCCCTTCATGGTGAAGGGTAGACTATAATGTGAACTGAACACTCCCAAGGTATCAGCAACAGAAAGCAAACTGGAATCGTTCCGATCTTATCAGATGGTGAGGCCAAGACTGAATGGATCGAGACACTGCATACTATTTAGTATTTCCGGTCACAGGTCAATGCTTGATCAGTGGCAGCCGTTTGATGGTCATTGTCCTCAACCCACAAATCTGTTCCCGTCCTCACACAGACACAAACAAGAGTGAACACCGTAGATGTTCTGCTCCCGCGGAATGAACCTTCTTTTCTTCCGTTTTTATCGCTTCTGCTTTCTCTCTCTAGTCTCTCACCTTCTACACACTGGACACGCCACCTGCTCAGCATGTTAGTCGTCTGACTGCGACTGCTCGCTCTTCTGGCTGTTAAGGATCTTTCTTTCTCTACTTTCTGGAGGTTGGATGGGGACAGTACTTACTATAATCTTCTGTCCACTCACCTCCTCCTCTCTGTCTTATTTGCTAATCCTGTTCGGTGACTTCTTCATTCAGAGACTGGATTGTTGTCTTTACAAGTTTGACTGGGAATTTTAAAAACTGTTACTTCCCTTGTTATACCTAGACTTTCTTCTACCTTTCCCCCAATATATAAAATATTTATAATAGTAGTTCTAAAATCCTTAGTTACTACTTCTACTCCTGTGTCTCTTCCATTGGTTGCTTTTTTTTGTGATCATTAAAATTTTCTTGCATTTTGAATACCTGGAAATATTTTTTTGTGTGTGGGGGTAGACAGACTTTCATTTTTATTTTGAAAATCTCATATATAATTCATGATGAATTTTGACTATATCTGTCCCTCCCTGCCTCACCAATTCCTCCTACATCTCCCCACATCCCTTTCTCAAATTCATATACTCTTCATACATAATTACTGAGTCCAATTAGCGCTGCCAGTATACACATGGATGTAGGGCTGGCCAACGGTAGACTGACAACCCCTTCCTCAGCAGCCATCGACTACCTGGAGCACCTCAGCTGGGAATGGGACCTCAAGAGTCTCCCCCCACCCTGCTGGAATATCGGCTGGTGTGGTCTTGTGCAGGCTACCATTTTGTTGAGAGCTCATGCTGCAACATCCCTGTCATGTCTAGAAGATACTACCTCACTGCAATCCTCCCCGTCTTCTGGCTCTTACAGTCTTTCCACCCCCGGTTCCTGGATGTTCCCTGAGCCTTGTGTTCATCTTGCTTCCTTCAGGGGTCCTCACTTTAAAAGTTAGTGTTCCTGGTTAACAGGACAAAACAGCAGCCTGTTTTGAGTTTCACCCACCCCACATCAGAGGTCTGATCTCCAAAATACATGAAGAACTCAAGAAATTGGTCATCAAAAGAACAAATAATCCAATAAAAAATGGAATACAGACCTAAACAGGTAACTCTCAACAGATGAATCTAAAATGGCTGAAAGACACTTAAGGAAATGCTCAACATCATTAGTCATCAGAGAAATGCAAATCAAAACAACTCTGAGATTCCATCTTACTCCTATAAGAATGGCCAAGATCAAAAACACTGATGACAACTTATGCGGAAGAGATTGTGGGGTAAAGGGAACACTCCTGCATTGCTGGTGGGAATGCACGCTGCTACAGTCCCTTTGGATGTCAGTGTGGAAATTTCTCAGAAAATTAGGAAACAACCTTCCTCAAGACCCAGCAATACCACTTTGGGGTATATATCCAAAGGATGCTCAATCATGCCACTAGGACATGTGCTCAACTATGTTCATAGAAGCTTTGTTTGTCATAGCCAGAACCTGAAAGCAACCTAAATGCCCATCAACCGAAGAATGGATTAGAAAAATGTGGTATGTTTACACAGTG